CCCCCCTTTTTTTTGGCTCTGCAAAAATATGCAGCCTACAGATTTTGGTTACTTTTTGTGCAGTGGGACATACTGTCCTCTTTCAACTTTCTAAATCAAAAAATTATTCAGAAAACCAAAGTATATTCCTCATGAGAGGAACCAGTGCCTGCCAGACCTCATATGGTAAACCTGACCATTTGCTTGCTTCCTGTAGTGTCAAAAGCTCACAAAAGACTTTTTCCTGGTGATTGTAAAGCTGGGATCCATTAGAAAGACAGTCCTTCCAAGCAATGTGGCTAGAAAAGACAAAACTTTGAATAGGATCAAAAGTGTTACTCTCATTATTAACTTTTTCTCAAAATTTTCTTCCTTGTGACATTGTTTTGTCTAGAAATCACCAAACTGCAGGGTTTGGTTTTAGTCTGATTAAAAGTGAGCATGGGTTTGTTTTTAGTCTGGTTAGAAGTGAGCATGTGTCCTTGCCCCTGTGAAGACACAGAACCCATCCAAGTAAAGGCAGTAGCAGCTTTTATAGCATAGTATCCACTGTGGGCAGCTTAGTGTCTTATTTCAGGAAGTCAAAACCCTTGCTGTAGTTTGTAAGCCGGGTGCTCGACAGTGTACTTTATAGCTTGCCTCCTGTGGTGGGAGCTTATGAAAGTATATTCTGTCTCTGGCTGTGCTACCTATACAGAGCAGTGCTGACCTTGTCCATTCACTCAGTTAATGGGGTTCTGAAGGAAGAGACGAACTAGAGACAAGTGTGATGTAGGGCGCGAGAAGACTTTGTTATGGTAACCCAGGTTAGTTTGTCTTCCCCATGTGAGCATGTAGACTCCCAAGCACATCTTGCCTTGTTACGGTAACCTGGGGTAGTTAATTTCTTCCCATCTGAATATGCAGAGTCCCAAGCACGTTCTGTCTTGTTGTGACGGTAATCCAGGATAGTTTGCTTGCCCCCTCATCTGCACCCACCTTTGCACAGGCGCCAGTGTGATAGCCAGCTGCAGATCTTGGAATTCGGACCTACGTTACATCAGTGAGTTTGCTAGTGAGTAAAACAGAACATTGCATATGTATGATACGTTAATCAGTGCAAATTTTATTATTCACCCCTGTGGTGTTTTCCTTTGAGCTTGACTCCTAAGCAGGGTTCCACTGCATCAGGTCCCCATTTGATTACTGTTGTTGTACTGGGTTTCCTACTGTGTAACACCACTCTTTCATTAAAGCCAAAGCTTTCACTTGCTGATTGCTGTGCCTTGTCCCTGAGGGATCCGCACCTGCTTTTTGCTTGTAATGTGGGTACTTATGCCCTCAGTTAGTAGGACACTGATCTCATGCTGTGTGGTTGGATGGCCAAATTACATGATGCTCGTCTACTACATGCTGGCTCTCTGGAGTGAATACATTTCAAAAGTCATGGTGACTGACTTTCAACACCACTTTATGATGACACATTTGCTGAACAAACTTTGGAATGTTGTAATCACATATCAATATTTTTTATTCTATTCTTGCAGGCAGCTGATTAGAACAATTAGTTGTTTGCCCAGTGAAGTGACTCCTGGTCATACTGAAAGCACTGAGAAGTCATCTGGGCCAAGATTTAGCATGCTGTATGCAAACACATGCATTACACATACTTTGTAAAACATGCATTAATACACCATCTCTATACATCGTCTGTCACAGCTTTGGACATTCTCTCCAATGTAGCTAGGTAGTCTGCTTTCAAGCCTTGCAGTCATCTCCATCCCCAAAATATTTCAGGGCACTTGTGATAGTTGGAAAGTCAATGACAGCATCAAACTCCAGTGCAGTTCTGCTAAGCCAAATCTTTCAAAACTAACAAAAATTTAAATAGTTTCCCTCCCTTTTGCCCTCTTCAGACAAAGTGATCAGGTGCAGCATAGTCAGAGCACTGGAGATAAAGTAAATAAGCCATCTGCTGGAGAAGCAGTCATTCTCTCAGTCAAGCAGGCAAAAAAAAATCTGATGTTGCTGTGTTCTTTCTTCTATATGAATACAGAACCAAATGGTTTGGGTTTGCTGTTTTTCTGTGGTTTTGTTTGCTGTGGCCCTCAAGAATGTGACCTGAAAGGTTCCCTGACATAGAGGAGGACAGTATACTAGGAAGGAGCTGCCGTCTTAAACATCTCCAACACCAAATAATTCTAAATCATGCTGAGTGTGTGCTGTTCCTGTACCACTCTTCCTAGGCCCACTAATGTTCCAACCACCACCTATTACAGACAGCATCTTTATGCATGAGAGGGTCAGCATTCTGTCAAGGTTATTCATAATTTACTGAGTTGTAATTGTACAGCTATTAATGGAAATTCCATGTGACAGCCTTGACAGCTACTTTTTTATGGGTGGTTTTTTTGTTCTTTCAGTAGGGGATGATCTTGTAATTTATGAAGAGAATACACGAGACTTTCTGTTCCCAGAGCACAAGCTGATTCCTGCATATCCTGGTGTGGATGAAGAATTACTGGTGAAGACTTCTCCTCATTTCCCAGTAAGTTGCCTGAAACTGGTACTTAATCATACATGTCTGAAGAAGGAAGGAATTCAGTTGCTTAAGTAGCAACTTTTTGAGGACTGGAGTTTTGACTATCCCTTTGGTCTTCTTGAGCAGAGGGGGATGCTCATGTACTCTTGAATACGATGTTTCCTCAGAGGATGTAGTGGGTATGTGCTAGCCTAACAATTAAATCTTTTAGTCATAGACAGTAAGAGTAATCTCTCTGCATAGGCAGGTTAGAAGGCCTAATAGTAAAATTTTATGTTCAGTTTTATGTACCTCCATCCACAGATTAGATGAAAGGACCAGGAGCTTAAAAGATTTTCAAGTTTCTTTGTACCAGTTGCCTTTGAGGATGCCAGCTTTCTGTCCGTCTTCTTTCTCTCATACTCAGGCCTTGTTTTTTTCACTCTGCCTGTTCTCACTAATCTCTTGGGTGTCTTTCATTTTCATACTTCTGTAAATCCTTCCAGTTTCTGTTCTGGCTAGGGTTCATTGTTTCCTGAAGCAAAAATAGCAGACTAAAGTGATTGCATATTTATCCCTCTCACTGCATTATGGATTGGATTATGCAAAAGAAGCAGAAAAATGGAATTGAATTTTGTTAATCTGAGTCCATTGCAGCTTAGAATGGCTTTGAATAGAGAGGAGCATCCTTCCTTGAAAACTCAATTTTGCTTTGATTCATTCAGAAAGTTATTGTAATTACTCTACAAACTAGGAATGCCATTATTTCAGATGAAAAGCTGGGGGGTTATGCATAAATTGGAGGTATAGAAAATACTAGACTTAATTAAAACTAGCTGTTAGAAAGTTCTGCCTAATATGGGAATTTTTTCTATATATTTTTAGAACAGAAACTTAGAAATAACTGAAGGCGAAGAAGGTGATGACATATTGGTAAAGGAATAGGTGATTTGGGGGTACCCTCATACCAGCTCAGATCCAGACAGAGATCCTCATTTCTCTGGCTGGATCTGGGCCAGTCAGATGCTGCCCTCAAATGATTTCTTTGCTTCTTCATTGCTACTGCTTCTGTTTTCTCCTCCTCTTTGCATGAGGGTAGAGGAAAATAGAGTTTGAAGGTACTGTGCTGTGATTTCTCTGTCATTCTTGTAGAAGAAAGAGGAACTGCTAAGAAATGCACAAGTCAAAGTTCAAGGCAAATGAACAGATTTTTGGTTTTTTTTCAGTAGAGATCACTAGTGTCTTTTACAGTGTTTGTCCTGGCATTACCTTGCTTGACAGGTAGACTGGAATTCCTTTTTCACACCATTTTGGAAAGTGTCCTTTGGGCCACCCCGATCCACCAGGAAGACTAGTGTGCAAATGGAACTGCTAATCAAACAGTAAAGAGCTGTATATCTTCTCTGTAGTTCAAAGGATTCTTCTCACCTTTCTTCACAATACTGGCTTTCTGAGGAAATGCTCTGGGGCAGTGCTAGTGCCTCAAGCATATGTTTTGATCTTGCTGGCCTTGTGCATCATATTTCCCTTCTTGCACAGTTTATACCTATTAAGAGAGCAGACTAAAATCAAATTAATGCTTTTCATAGCAAAATTGCTTTACAACTATTCTTTGCTGATGAGTTTCTCACAAGTCTTTTTTAGCTCAAATGCCTCTTTTTGTCACTTTGGATTCTGCAGTTGCAATGAAGGACTTGAAGTGTTCTGATTATAAGGGGGGTGCACATGCAGTGATTATGTATTTAATCCTTTCCCCTCAACAGTTATTTTTAAGGGAATAGCACCAAAAATAGTTCTGCACAAGAACAACCATTACAGAGCTTCCACTTCAGTACAGAAGAAGGAATTATGTAAGTATTTATGGTAACATGCAGGCTTGGTTACCATTTTATAACCTTTGACTCAGTCTATTTGAGTCTAGCTTTGCTGTTGCCTTTGTATCTAGATACCTTCGGCAGCAACGGTAGGTAAGATTTAAGGCCATGCTAGGGGTCCTAGATTTTGTTGTAACAACAGCAAATCTGACTGACTAAACCAAAGCCATCCACATCTCAGTTTGTTATCTGCTATCCCAGGTGCTCTCATTTTGTAATTACCAAGCAGTTCATTCCAGGGAAAGCCCACAAAGACAAATAATCCTTGCATTGCTTTCCACTGAAGGTAAGATTTGAGCAGATTGTGATCTCTTGATATGATGGTGTTTTACTGCCTCCTGTCTTTTGCTGACAGTGTTTATAGCTAGCTTTTACAAATTTTTCTGTTTGTATGCTTTTGCTTAGTGAATTCATCCTTTCTCTATTTATCATTGCATCCTCTGATCCAGATTTAATTGCAACCAGTTAGTCATCCTCTGAGAAAGTGCTACAAGTGCATTCTGTGCTTTGTTTAGTGCCTATATATCTAACAGGTTATTTATTAGATAATATCCTGTGGGGACAAAATTCTGCCCTCCCTGCTGGAACAAAACACAGCAGATAAAGTACTCTGAGTAACAGCTGTTGAATTTGTGTCCCGTCGCCTCCCTCCCCATATCTCTCTTGACATGAAATACTTACAAGGTTTACTTGGATGAACTCCCACAGAAGTCAGGATTTCAAGATTTTAACCAAAGTTCTGTATTTTCTAAGCTCACAAGTGCTTTTCTGAAGTACTCATCCTTCTCTGACCTCTGTGACAGCCAGGGAACAATCTTTCAGGATTAAGCCCTAGATGAGAAGTTACACAACTGAGATAATGTGGGAGGAGGTAGGGTATATAAGCCCATGCTGACTTCTTTCTGGTTTTGACTTTGCCACACTCCAACACAGAATCACAGAGTCTTCCGTTTTGTACATACAAAGATCTGAATTTTGCTATCACATGGTCAGTTCCTGCTGGACTAATTTCTGCTTAAATCTTAGTCGTCTTTGCAGGGAGCTGCAAATGGCTTGTATCTGTTTTTACTTAGGTAATTGTACAACAGTGAATTTCTCTGCCAGGGCCAAAACAGAACAAGGAATCAAAGATTTGCATCTGCATCACCAAAATGAAGGAACCATTCACTAACACAATGGAGGACGTCAGTGAAAAGGGTTGAAAGCTATGGAAGGCATACAAGGTCCTTAAAATGGTAAGTTCCTTCTCTTAACACTAGAGACCACTTATGTGAACTCTGCAGAGAAAATCAGCAGCAGCTGTCAAGACTGAGCCTGGGGTCTGCTGAGTGCAAATCAGAAAATGAGAACAGGCCACCATTTCTAGTCAGACATGTAAGTCTTAAAATTGGTGTATTGCATTAAGAAGGTGAATTTTTGTTCAAAATAATTTCAGCATTTTTTTCTATCCTGTCTTGAACTACTAGATCAGCAGAAGACTGTAGAAATTTAGCAACAAATTTGAAAATGTAAGCATAAATGGTTTTTTGTTCAGTATGTAATTGGCCTGTCAAACTTACAGACAGCTAGTGGAAATCAGGTCAATCCCTTAACAACATTCAGAAAAGGAAAAAATATTACAAAGAAAGAATTCAAAGACACATTTAGATAATATAAAAATATAATACAGTTTAACCCTTCTGTTTTCTTTTGCACATAAACCAATCTGTACATTTCTGTACTTGGTAAGGAGTCTGTGGGCAGTTTATTTCATATTTTTGAGTTAGTCCTTCTGCTTCCTTCTGAAATCTCTGGGACTGGTTGTACTTCCTGACAGGACAGTAAACTGAGGTACCTGATGATATGGCAGGGATTGTCCGTCCCCATGGTTCTACTTAGATCCATCAAAGTCTTTTGTTAGGCACTGAAATTAGCGGAACTTGTTTCTGGGATTTCATCAATAAACCTTTGCATTTAGCCAGTGGGGTGTTCCATTTGAATGCTTCAAAGCCCTAACAATTACTAGGACAGTGTTCTTCTGACAATTTGCCTGGTTTAGAGAGAAGAAAACTGCTGCTGAGGTGATCAGTACTTCCAGGCTAAAGTGATAGCTATCTAGAGTAACTTAGGATTGCCAAGGTCCTGGTCTTATATTCCACAGGCCTATTCCAGTGTCCATATGTTTTACCAGGCCTATGTTTAACAGTCATGTGTATTTTGGTTCCACAAATATGTTAATCTGTGACTGGTTACATTCTTTCAATCCAGCTTTACATGAGAATCGTGAAATCATTTGGCTTGAGATGGACCTGTGCAGGTCACCTAGTCCAAACCCCACTTAAAGCACGTCCAGTTAGATTAAGCTGCTTAAGGCCTTGTGCTGTTCAGTTTTGAATATGTCCAAGGACAGAGATTTCATAGCCTCTCTGGGTTAAAGTTGTCCTTGTATCTAATTCAAACTTATGCCATTTGTTCTTGTCCTTCCACTAGGTCTCTCTGAAAAGAGCCTGGCTCAGTCTTCTCTACATCCTCACTTTAGGTAGTCATAGACAACAGTACAGTCTCAGAATCACAGAATTGTTTTCGTTGGAAGAGACCTCATGAAACCATCTAATCCAACCCCCCTGCTCAAGCAGGGTCAGCTCGAGCATGTTGCCCAGGACCATGTCCAGTTGCATGTTGAATATCTCCATGGATGGAGACTCCTCAATCTCCCTGGGCAAAGCATTTGACCAGCCTCACAGCAGAATAGTGTTTTCTTGTGTTCAGATGGAATTTTGTAGTTTTTAATTTCTGCCCATTGCCTCTTGTCTTGTCTGGGCACCACTGCGAAGAGCCTGGCTCTGTAGTCTTCATTCCCACCCATCAGGTATTTATATACATGAATAAGATCCTTGCTGAGCCTTCTCTTTTCCAGGCTGAACAGTCTCTGCTTTTTCATCCTTTCCTCACATGAAAGATATCCCAGTCCCCTAATCTTGTTTGTGGCCCTTCACTGGACTTGGTCCAGTAAGTCCATCTCTTTCTTGTACTGGGGAACCCAGAACTGTACACAGTACTCCAGCTATGGCTTTACCAGTGCTGAGTAGAGAAGAAAGATCACCAGCCTCCACATGCTTGCAGTGCCCTTCCTAATGCAGCCCAGGAGACTGTTGGCTGCCATGAGGTTGCATTACTAGCTCATGGTCAGCCTGTTGTTCACCAGGACCCTATGTTCCTTCCCTGCAGAACTGATCTCCAGCCAGTCAGTCTGCAGTATGTACTGGTACCTGGGGTTATTCCTCCCCAGATGCAGGACTTTGCGTTCATTATTATTAACCTTCATGAGATTTCTCTCAGACATCCTTTTGCTGTCCAAGTCTCTCTGAACGGCAGTACATCCATTGTACAGATCACCTACTCCTCCCAGTTTGTACTCTCTGAGGGTGCACTTTGAATCATTGGTGAAGATGTTAAATAGTATTGGCCCCCGTATTGACCCCTGGGACACACCACTAACAACTTGCTTCTAAGCCAGTGTTCACAACCCTCTGGGCCTGGCTGTTCAGGCTGTTTTAATCCACTTTACTAGGCACTTTCTAATCTGTACTTTTTCAGCTTTTCTATGAGGGTCTTACGGGAAACAGTGTCAAAAACCGTGCTAAAGTCAAGGTAAACAACATCCACTGCTCTCCCTTCATCCACCAAGCCAGTCTCCTCATTGCAGAAAGTTATCAGGTTGGTTAAGTATGGCTTCCTCTTCATAAATCCGTGCTGACTATTTCTGACTACTGTCTTGTGCTTCACATGTTTGGAAAAACGGTTTCCAGGATTAGTTGCTTCATTATCTTCCCAGGGATTGTGGTGAAGCTGGCCAGCCTGTAGTTGCCTGGATCTTTCTTCTTGCCGTTCTTGAAGATAGGAGAGACATTTGCTTTCCTGCAGTCTTCAGGAACCTCTCCCAGTTGCCATGACCTTTCAAAGATAATCAAGAGTGAACTTGAATGATGCAATGACATCATGCAGCTCTCTCAGCACTTGTGGGTGCAACCTCTAATGTCCCATGGACTTATGTATATCCACTTTGTTTAAGTTCTCTTTAATCCGGTCTTCCTTCCAAGAAGCCGGGCTGGATGGTGCAAAATAAACAAAACCCAGAGAAAGAGGTCCCATGGTACCTACAGAGAAGAAAATATATTTTAAAAAGGGATGTCTTTCAGTCATGGCTGCTCAGAAGAGTGTACCAAATACAAGCTGGATTTGTTTGAAGTGCCCCCAACAGAGCAAAGGCCACCAAGGGGGCCCTGGTGCAAATCCTGTCACATGCAAAGCGCGACCCTGTGAGATGGACCGAGAAGGAAGAGACCTTCAGGGAATCTCCCAAACGGCCACATGATCCGGACAAACCGGCCGGTGGGCTTGTGAACCACAAACTGGATTTGGAGGTCAGTGTCACACAGAGAGGGCGGGCGGCGGGGGGAGCTCCCTTTGCCCATGGTCGCGGGGGGATCTTCAAGTTACCTGTAAGACCACTACAGCGTGCAGGCTACTGCTGTAAATGTTGCCTTATCCGTAGGTCGATGACCCTACAAAAGGATTCAGGAAGCTCGCTCTGACTGCGTGCGGGCCTCCTAATACGTGCCATCAGAAGCAGAAAT